TCATTGCCTCTATTTTTCTGCTGATTGGTTGCACAAGGTACAAATCCAAATTGTCACAGCATGACTTAAAGTCCTGGAGTTTCATCTTGCCATTCAATTCTCTTTAGTATTAAAATATATTCAAGTTCTGCTAAGGAAGCTGAGTATAAGCAAAATAAAACAGGATCATCTGGTTCTTCTTTGTGTAGGGGTAGCTTGTCAAAATCTTGAGAGAGACTTTGTAAAACCACATCACACAAAATTAGGTACAATAAACAGTAGCTAAAGACAAATATTTCTTGCTTTGACAGAAGTATGCAGACTTTGCAGTTTCTCATTTTAGCTCTACAGTTTACAACAGGCATCCCAACAGCTTTGTTTTATATATTGGATAGAGAAAGTGCACTTAATAGCATATTTTCCTTATTAAAAAATCATAAAGTGAGAGATCCTTATGATTTCCTTAATTATTGTGTGATTGCAGTGCTGCAACCTTCTAGGGTCTTGTTAAACGAGTAAACAAAAAGAAAAATGGATCTTCACTCCATGCCATGTCAATTCAGAGGTCCTCAAGGCATTTACTGCTATAGAAATACCAATAAATTAAATTAGCTGTTCAAATGCACTTTGGGGTCTTTTGAGTGGTTTTTGTTTTTTTTTTTTTTCTTTGGGTGGTGTTTTTTTCTGGTTGCTTTGTTTTTCTGTCATCACTGTGTTACAGATCTGAATATTTACCTTAATTTAACTTTTCTTATATTTAAGTAGCCTTGACTGGCATGTCTTACTTTAAGGGCTCTCTAAGTGTATGGCATACAGTATAATGTCAAGTCATAGAATCATAGAATCGTTAGGGTTGGAAAGGACCTTAAGATCATCTAGTTCCAACCCCTCTGCCGTGGGCAGGGACACCTTACGCTAAATCATATCACCCAAGGAAGTTTAACCATGCCAAGTGCAAGGTCCTACACCTGGGTTGGAGCAATCCCAGGCACAGCTACAGGTTGGGCAGGGAAGAGATTCAAAGCAGCCCTGCAAAGAAGGACTTGGGGGTGTTGGTTGATGAGAAAATGAACATGGGCCGGCAGTGTGCACTTGCAGCCCAGAAAGCCAACTGTATCCTGGGCTGCATCAAAAGGAGTGTGACCAGCAGGTCGAAGGAGGTGATCCTGCCCCTCTACTCTGCTCTTGTGAGACCCCACCTGGAGTATTGTGTGCAGTTCCGGTGTCCTCAACATAAAAAGGACATGGAACTGTTGGAACAAGTCCAGAGAAGGGCCACGAGGATGGTCAGGGGACTGGAACACCTCCCGTATGAAGACAGACTGAGGAAGTTGGGGCTGTTCAGCCTGGAGAAGAGAAGGCTGCGTGGAGACCTCATAGCAGTGTCACTACAGTTTTGGAGGAAATACAAAACTGATCAATATGTGGATAAATTCATGCTTACAATGATTGTTGTTGTGCAGTTACTTGGATAGTTACTGTGCAGTGGATGCACATACACCTTATGTGTGTGATGTGTAGTAGTAACACAGAGTCCAGAGTAATTGTTAGGATAGCATCCATCTGTGTGTGAAGTGAGAAATGTGATTTCATGTACATTTGTAACACACAAACTTCAGCCTCTGAATGCTGTAAAATGCTATATGGAAATGACTTGTTCCATTGCTTTCTTTGGTCCTCTTTTTGGGTGGTGGAGGAGACACAGATAGGTATAGTTCTCAGTAGCATGTTGAACATCTGGAGAACTTCTCTGGAAGGACTACAAGCATCTGGGGTCAATGATAAATGGACAAGTGAGCGGGTGTCAAACCAGAGCAGTGCAGTGCTGCTGCAGGAGTTGTACCTTATTTTTCCTGCAAACACACTGGATAGTACCCTCGGTAAGAATTTTTTCTTTAGTGGAAGAGTCATTCAGGGTTGTACATTTAGCCCAGAGAGTATGTGCTGTTGCTTTCTGTTTTCACTTCAAACTTCTTTCATTAGACCTCATTGCTTTTCTCTGCTCACCAGGAAGTTTGTCTTCACATGAGGAGGATGATGAAGAGGTTGCTCTGTAGCTTTAACTTTTCACTTATCCCCTGGAAGCCCACATGGATAAGATACAGAAATTGCATCTCTACACATTGGTAAGTATGAGTGATAATGGCTAAAATAGGTTATCATGCCTCTTACTATATATTCAGCTACTGTCAGCAAACATGAGCAAAACTGCCAAAAAAATTAGTGAGAAACCAGATATGCTAACCCATTTCCTTTGGGCAGTTAGTATCATTGCTGATGTGTCAGAATATGGATGCAGGTCACTTCATATGCAAAATCCTTGTGGTGCTCAGTGTGTTGTTTGTATGACCTCAGTGAAGAGACTTGATTTCAGCTAAAACTGACCGTTTTAATGAAAGTGTACTGAATCATAATGGCTGCAGTGAATTGTGCTGAATACCTCATCAAACAGGCAATGGACAAAAATGCCTTTATGCCCTGGTCCTGTACTTACATGCCTGAATTAAACATGCCCATAATGTTTCTGTGATGAGAGCTTATGTCAGCAACTTTTCCTTTGCGGTGCTTGCCTGTGTTTTTCCTTGTAAAGAGAAGTAAAAAGGAGCTCAGTTTCCTGACAGATCTGGAAAAAAAAATAGTATCTTATGTTTCTCACCAGTTGTGAGCTGGCCTGATACACAAAATACTGAGGCAGGGCTGGTGCTATGGAGCATGGAGCTCAAATGTTGTTTCGCTTTCCTGAGCTTCTCAGGGCTCATATTAGTTCCTAGTATAAATCCTACCCCTTCTTCCCCCACTCCCTTGACTAATTTTCTCACTTCTTCAGTCCAGAACCCCCTTCTACGTTTTTACCTCAAATAGTATATTCTGGTACTGCTGCTGAATCGAACAGCTAGTTGGTTGTTATCTCCTAACCAGGCAGCAGCTGATTAGGAGACAATTTCCTATGTTAATGGCTCTGTGCTCCAAACATTGGCATCAGCTGAACATGACTGTGTATTTTCTATATGCCCCTTGGACCAATCAGCTAGTGTGCAGTAGCATGAAACAGATCTTTAAGATCTTCAGAAATAGAATACATGAAAGAGTTCACTTGGGCTGCTTACACCCAAACCCAGTCTTGATTTAAACTGCTCAGGTGTGGGACTGTAATGTAGCTCTGTGAGCCATTCTGAAATTATAATTGAAGGTTTTAAGTTCACTGAGTCCTCCCTCTCCCTTGATTAATAAGTGATTTATACATATATAATGACTTTAACTGACAGAGGGGGGTAATTTATGTCATGATGTGCATGATATATGGATCTAACAAGAGGGAAATGGGAACCATCTGTTCTCTAAAAAACTGTCCACTGTCAGAAGAATTCAAGAGCTCTATTTGAAAAATATGTTCAGAAAACCAAAAATAAATTTATCTGAATTTCTTGTGCTGTCTGGATGACATTCTCAATGGGTATGTATTGACCAAGAAACAAGGTTAGGAACTTGAATTTATAATATTTTGCAATGTTTCATATTCTGTAAGTTGTTCAGAAGTCTGTATTTTATTAGTATATATATTAAAATACTTTTTGTTCTGATCTTCACAGTGCTCATGCAACACTGGTTTTGCAGCTTACAGGATGGATACAGAACACAGTGAACAAGTTTAAACACTACCTACACCAAACGAAAAAATGGGAGTGGTATTTTCTGGGAGTAGGAAGGTTTTATTTAGGACAGGGATTTAAAAGCAGACGTATCATTCTTTGTGCCACTTAGGTACATACCTAGTACTGTTTGTCAAGTGATAAATCTCCTTGTGCCCTTCTCTTATGCAATGTGAGCAAGTAAACAATCTTAAAAACACTTATGCACATTCTTAAATTTGCACATGCAAATTTTGTATGATCCTCAACAGGACGTCTCATGCATGCAGACTCACGCAACTGCAGAGGCACTTGTGGGATCAGGGTTTCATTTTCTGCCCGAGGGGGAAAAATAATAGGCGTGTGCAACAAGTAGAACACGAAGGTGAGCTGGTGTGTGTGTGCTCCAGAACTATAGACAGCAACTGCAAAAGCAGTTGAAAGTTCTTTTATGTCTTTTTTTTTTTAATACTGCAGGGCTGTAGGGTTTTAAATTAAATATACCTGTAGCAGGCCCGGTATTTAACAGCATACCCGAGAAAATATTTTCCTGCCACGAGTACTTGTAAAGTCGGTCTTTTCCGGACACCCACGAGGGTCTCCTGAAGCCCCTCCGCGCGGAGTGAGAAGGCAAACCCCGCCCCTCCGCGGACACGGCTCCCCGTCCTGGACAGTGAGCCCCGAGGCTCCCGCCGGCGGCCCAGCAGGGGTCAGTGCTGCCGCGGCGGCGCGACCCGGCGGCGAGAAGAGTCGGGGATGGGTAGCCGTGGGTAGGACAAGCGCCCTGCTGCCGGCAGCCGGCACGGGGGCAAAGCGGCTGGTCTCCGGGTGTGCCAGTGGTGTACCGTGACGTGCGGCAGCGCTGGTCGCTGCTGGTGCCGGGGCGGAGCGGGCTGAAGCAGCCAGCCCACTGGCGGCAGCTACCTTTCAGCCTGGCACGTGCCGTCTGCAGGCCTCCGTCCTGCACCCTGAGGGAGCCTTGCACGGCGGACAGCAGGAGGCTAGGTGGCTACACCCATTCTTCCTCTTCTCCACGAAGGGAGGAGGCGAACGGCTGCTGTCGCTGTCCCTGCATGGCCGCGGGCACCCGCGGCACAGCAGCCCTGCGCCCGCAGGACACAGCCGCCCTCCCGCTGCAGTAATGGGGACCGCGGTCGCAGGCACCGCCATCGCCGGGCAGTGACACAAGCACATCCTCTCCACCACCGGCCGCGGCGGCAGAGACGGATCCCCCGGCCACTTTCCTTCCCTACACAAAGAGGAGGCGCGGAAACCTGCGCGGACGGGGCGGGAGGCGGTGCGGTACCTCCCCGGGGCAGCGTGACAGCCAGCCGCTGGCAAAGGCTGTACCCTGGACTTCTTCCTGAAAAGCAGCCGGTCTTTTTCTTCCTCTTTCTTCAGAGGGAGCACCCGGCAAACCCCGTCCAGGCTGTTCCGCGGGATGGCGGCGGAAGGCCGCCCCTTGGGGCTGGGCGCTTTGCCGTAGCCGTGCCGGTCTCGGGCCACTGCGGTGGGGCGCGGAGCCGGGCACGGCCCAACCCCGGCTTCGCCTCAGCCGCCTCCTCCGCCGTAGCTCGGGCTTTTTCCCGCCTCCCCGCTTCGTCCCCGGACATCGCAGCAGACATGGGCTGTTTCTGCGCGGTCCCGGAGGATTTTTACTGCGAAGTTTTGCTCTTGGATGAGTCCAAGCTGACCCTGACCACCCAGCAGCAGGGCATCAAGGTAAAGGGAGGCCGGCGGGGCTGCGGGGTGCGCTGAGGGAGAGCTCCGGGGCCAGACTCCGCGCCGCGCCTTGAGGTATCCAGGAAGGGAGCGGCGGTAGGAAAAAGGGTTTTCGGGGTCCTGCGAGAGGCGAAGAAATAATTTTGTAACTTTGGTTGCCGGTAGCGCATGGGACGGATGAGCGAGCAAGACGCGTACCGGTGCTGGCTTTGGAAGCTTTGCTGTGAGGTACTCAAGTGAGCAGGTGCCGAACACTCCTCAGCAGTCGGGACTGACTCGTGTTTTCCTGTACATGCTACCAAAGTAGAAAGAGAAAAGAGAGAAAGGAGGCTGTTGTACAGAAAGGCGGCTGTGTACACGGGCTGTTGCGCACCCGCGCTGAGTCGTTTTGCCTCCGGCTGCTGCTCCCCGCCGAGACTTCCCTCTTGGCGCTGTTTGCCTGCCCGGGCTGCGGGTGCCTCCCCCCCGGCCCCGGGGTCCTCAGGGCTGCTGCCCTGCCGAGTGGAGGAGGTAGAGGTCCAGCCTCTTCTGTAGGCCTGTGCCCTGTCGCCTGCTCGGTGGGAAGAGGTCTTGCGCTGTTGCAGCGCGCCGGGTAGGGATAGACTCTTCGAAGTAGTCATCTGCCAAACGCTAAGTGAGCCCTAACAGAGGATGTGAGAAACGGGACGTTTTTCTAAAGGCCCTTAAATTGTTCCTGTTTGATTAAGCCTGATGACAACATGTCTCAGACAGCTTGGTACTTGAATTTATTAGCAATATAAGAACATGGTTTCAGTGTTGGTTCAGGAAAAAAAAAAAGAACCAACCCACAGTTCTTCTAAACTTAATTTTTGGAAAGTCTGATCTGTTCTACCCAAGACATTTGAAGAATAAAAACCTGTATGCCTGTATGTTTCAGTTTGAATGATTAAAGTTTGGTGAAAAAACTGGGGAAGGGAAAGCCCAAAGGGGGAATAGCGACTGTTTAACAGTATCATTTTAATCTGTGGCACTACCAGCTCTCTACATGTATTGAGAATCGGCCAGCTCTGCTAAAGCAACTGCCTGCAAATAGGCTCATAAATCCGCGCTTAACAGAGGAGTAAAAAAATCATCCTAACACTGGAACTTAGTGACTATGTAGGGTCTTTGAAGTCTAAGTTGAGACACTTCTGAAAAATGTACCTTTGTGTATGATGTGGGTAGGTGTGTTATGCATGTATATATGCTTTTGTTGCCTGAAAATGTGCAATCGCAGAAGTATATTAAAGGAATAATCTGCAAAGATAGTTCTATGATTAGCTTCATGAATCCAAACCCTGAAAGGTGATGGGTTTCTGCAGTGTCTAATAAAAATTAATGTCCCATGAGAAAGTGTCTGAAGATGTAACTTCTTAATAATGTGTGACTTACGGTGTTGGGAGCTGTCTAGTTTAAAATGAGGGTGTGGTTTCCTGCCATTCTTAGTGTGATATGAATGTGATATGATGCAAAGTATTTCACCCCTTCCACTTGCTCCTTCTCTGTCTTGACTGTAACCATGGAGCAGTCAGAGTTGGTTGGAACAGTGTGAGGACCTGGCAGAAAAGTAGCAGTTAACGTTTTTGGGCAGTGAAACTGCATTGCAAGAAACTTAAGCAAAGGAGGATGTCGCCTTTTATAGCAGCCTGTTGCTGGTGGGTTTTTGTTTTTGGCGTTTTGCTGTGTGTTTTTTTTTTAAGATTCAACTTGTATAATGCGAATCCACAGCCCAGTGCTGTAGCTCCAGGAGCCTTTGAAAACCTACAGAGAACTGCATACCTCTCCCCTAGTCAGTGGCTTTCGCTATTGCTTTCTCCCCTTGCCTTTGTACTTGCACAAGTGTTTGTGCAGCTGCGTGTGAAGAGCAGCTTGTGTCCAGCTGAAGGCTAACCACAGATTTTCCTTTTGCTGGGTTAGTCTTCAGCGAGATTGGTGCCCTGAAACACTTCACTGCTGGAAGAGGGCAGAACTAACTCTTTCAACTGAGTCCTTATGCCGTTTCAAACTGCTCAGGGAGCATGTCTGTTGTTTTTATCCTACAGGTTTCCACTGAAGTTACATGATTATTTCTTAGTAAAAAGAACTTAAATTTTGTCATGTTTTGCTTTGATTCTTTCGTTTTCATGTACACATCTATGAATGTACAGTCTCATATTTGCTTTTATAGAATTTCAGCTTTGACACTGAGGTGTAGATTATAAATGTTCTTATGTGTTTTATTTTAAAACAAAGATTTCCTTAGAACTTCAGATTCTGGGTGTGATCTCTCTTTTATTTTCACTCTTAATTTGTGTCGCAGCTACAGAGGAAACTTATGGTTTTGGTACTGTGTCACAAATTTTGAACTATTGCAAGAGAAGAGCTTTTAAGTGGTTATGCAAGGAGATTCATTCCCTTCTTTTTTTTGCCAAACAGATGCTGGTCTGCTAAAAGTAGAACCTGCAAATTAATAGCTGTTTACCATCTGTGTATTTACTTGGCATTAGTGGATTTTGTTTTATTTGCTTTGAAGTGTGTAAGACTGAGCTGTCTGACTCTAGGAGTCCTAGGCAACTTCATTTCTTCCGTGATTCTGAAATAAAGGTGTGAGGTAGAAAACCTATTTCTGAACTAAGGTAGAGTTTTGAAGATGCATTGCTTAGTTTGTACAGTAGTTATTTCTGGCTTTCTATGCTTGATAGCAGCTATATGCAGCAAAATATGACTTTTTGAATTACAGTTTTTATTAACACATTATTGGTACTACGGTGGGCTTTAAGTTGTACTTTAGATTAAAACAATGAGCAGAGGTGGCGCATGACTAAGACTTTTATTGCAATTTAGAGATAATTTGTCTCTTCCTTGTGTATTTCATAGAGCTTGTTAGGGAAAGGAAATGATTGCTTTTCTCTCATCCTGGTGGGGAAACTGAGGTGCAAAGAGGTTGAGTGACTTTTCCAAGGTTGTGCACCAAGTTGACATCAGAGCCAGGAATGAAGTTCTCAGTCCTCTAGGTGAATAGGAGCTGACCAGTCTCCCATGGGCTGGAGGGATGTGTGATGATCTTTTCCTTGTAGTTGCTTGCATTGACTTTTGCCTTTCTTTTTGTTTTCTTACTGTTACCAGTGCTGTCTTGCTGTTCTTCCTTTATATCTTTGTGGTTTAAGGTCAGAACACAGTTGTGTGCAAATGTGGAATCCAGCTCTTCAGCTTGTGGAATTACAGGATATATCATAATAACAGGATAATCAGGAAAGGGTATCAAATATTTCATAATCTAAATTTTTATGTTTTCCTACAGTACATTAACAATGAGACATATTTTTTGAGAGTACATGTTTTGAGATAATAAAGTAATGACAGTTGTTAGTCCGAACAATTTTGGATTAAGATGCTGTTTTCCAGGTTCTGGTACAGTTTGTCTAATCGAGGTATATGATATCAAGGCTGGGTCAGCTTTTCCTCTAAAAAGGATGTTCAAGATGCCAATTCAGAAGTGGATTTTAACAGACTTTTGCTACAAATATGGTAAGAGTCAGCTGTTAACTGAAAAATAATCACTTCTCCAGGACTGCTTATTGACTCATTGACTCATCGACTCATCTTCTCATAGATTAAACCATAATTTAGGTATTTTTATGGTACAGTGCTACCTTCTAAGTAGGTATAGCTTATTTGTTGATGTCACAAGACATGTCATTAATGTTTTGACATGATAGCTGACTGGTGAGTTGTGGGCATTGCATATTTTGAGTCTCTTAAGGATTGGAGTAATTGTTCTTGCAGGAGATTGGTGTGCCTTGTTGGACAAACTTGTTACTGAAGGTCAGGGAAACCTCTGTGGGCCCTGAGAAAATGCTGCTATGAAGCCCATTTGTGCTTTGTTGTTTAAGAAAGAACGGTCATCCTGTAATGTGCATGTAACAATAGGCCTTTTACCCATTTTGGAAACATTATTTAAGGCAAATGCTTGTTTACTTTTTCCTGAAGAAGTTAAAAATATTGTGAAACATCTCTGTTTTATGTTTCTATCTCTTTGGTTAAAAAAAATAATAGCTACAATATATTAGCTACTTCTCCAGTGAACAAGTTCACTAATCAGTCTTAAGGCATCTGGTTACTGCACTTTTGAAATATTCCTTGAAATTTCTCTCTGAGCACTATGTTTTATGCTGAGTCCTGTTTAATTTGACGTGTGATGGGCCAACCACAAGGTTTTGTTGGAAGTGATAAATAGGATAGATACACTAAGTCTTCCTGAAAGACTGTTTGCGCTGTGTTTTTTAACATTTTATTAGGTTCTACCTTCTAATCGTGATATTCTGGCAACCATACCACTTATTTGGTATTTTAAAGTGTTAATTGGTAGTTCTATGATATACCAGGCTATCTAGGTGAGGCATTTCATGATTTGTAAGCTACACTTAGGGCTGAATTTTTGAATAAAATATTCAGTCTCCAAAGGAAATGTATAGTTTTCATCCGGGAAATAAGCAGACAGATTTTTCTTGATGATGATGGTATACTGAGAGTTTAACAAAATGAGATACAACAATCTAAAAGCAGGCTTCAACATCTCAACATGACTTAATACCTGCCCCCCCCCCCCCCCCCCAAATATATGAAATAGTGTCTGAGGTTGGGAACTGTTTTAAATGACTTAATATATAAAAGACATGAGTGGATTCATCAGAATGTGATACATGTTGTTAAGAAAGTTATGGAATAGTTGACTATGATTTAGTAAAATATATAGAAATAGGTAGACATACCATTTTTATAGCAATTTCTGGGGATCATTCTGGTGTTACTCTTCTTTTTTTCACTCCCCAGTGAAGTTTGTGGTTTTGTTTTTGTTTTATTTTTTTTGTGGGTTTAATTTTTTTTTTTTTTAATAATATAAGCAGTTCAAAATGTTCCGGGCATCATGCCTTCAAAACTTAGTATGTACAGAAAATGTGAGATGCACTTTTGGGTCAAGTTGTTTTAGCTCTGGGGACTCCGGGAGGTCAATATGGCAA